AATTACTATAATTAATTATTTAATGAAATTCAGGCTGTTACATGGCACACTGAATAACTTCTCCTTCAGAGTCTACTTTAGCGTCTTGCAGCATGTCAAATTCTGCAAATCTTCTGGGAACGCTTCTGATTCTTTGTGGTCTCTGAACTTGTTCAGAGTCTTGGGCTTCAGATGATTGACTTTCTCCAGAGCTTTGACCAACTTCAAGATCTGGCATATTTTCAGAGTTTTGGCCATCTTCAGAGTCTGAATTTCCACCAGAATCTGGATTACCATCAGAGTTTGGATCATCAGAGTCACCTTCATCTTCTGAGTTTTCTCCAGAGTCAGAATCACTATCAGAGTCAGAATCACTATCAGAGTCAGAATCAACGTCAGAATTTACTCCAACTTCAGAAATTCTTAACTCTGACCTTTCTTCAGAAGTTCTAACATCAGAATCAGATTGAGACTTATCCCAATTCCAAACTTCTGATTCCTTCACAATCACATTTCTGCTGAATTCAATTTTATTGGTTTCTGGACAATAGAGCTTGTATGCACCTGTACTGTGGTACCCTACCAGAATCATCACTTTGCTTCTATCATCCAGCTTTTGTCTTCTGGCTTCTGGAACATGTTTATAGCAAACAGAACCAAACACCTTCAGATGACTAACACTTTGCTTATCTCCAGTCCACTTCTGTATTGGAACTATTTCCTTCAACTTCTTCGTAGGACATCTATTGAGTACATACGTTGCAGTGGCAACAGCTTCTCCCCAGAGCTTCTGAGGAAGCTTCTTCTCCTTTAGCATGCTTCTCACCATATCAAGCAAAGTACGGTTTCTTCTTTCAGCAAGACCATTGTGTTGAGGGGTATAAGGAGCAGTAACCTCATACTCAATGCCATTCTCCTCACAGAACTTCTGGAACTCTTTGGAGTTATACTCACCTCTACCGTCAGTTCTAAGAATCTTCAACTTCTGACCACTCTGATTCTCAGCCTTCATTCTGAATTTCTTGAATTCATCAAACACCTCGTGTTTGAACTTAATAAGGGATACCCATGTCATTCTTGTGAATTCATCAACAAACAACACAAAGTACTTATTCCCTCCAATTGATGCTACTGGAAATGGACCACACACATCAGAATGTACAACTCCCAAGGCATGTTTTGCTCTTGGAGCAACTTCTGACGCAAATGGCAAACGTGGTTGTTTTCCTTCCATGCAAACTTTGCATGACTTTTCAGGCTTCTTAATTGCAGGAATTCCATGTACCAGCTTCTTTGAATTCAGATGTTTTAGGCTTCTGAAATTCAAATGACCAAATCTTCTGTGCCACAGCTCACTCTCCTTCTCAGCACATGTTGCACTAAGACATTCTGAGTCTGCAGTTCTGACATTCACCTTGAATGTTCTATTCCTTCCTTGTTCTGACTCCATAATCAACTTCTGATTGAAGTCATACAGCTTCAGAAGATTATCCTTCATGGTAACTGAAAAACCTTTCTCAATTAATTATCCCACACTCATCAGATTGCTTCTGATGCCAGGTACATACCACACGTTCTGAATCAATGCTGTTTTTCCATTGTTCAAAATCACTCTGACATTTCCCATACCTTCTGCATTAAAATATTTGTCATCAGCACATCTGATCTTTGTTCTCTTTTCAGAGTCAAAGTCAACCAGCCATTTCTTGTTTCCAGTAAGATGATTTGAACAGCCAGTGTCCATATACCACCAGTCTATCAGATCCATATTATCAGATTCAGAAGCCATCAATAGCACAGATTCGTCATCAGAACTTCTGGCTATATTTGCTTCTTCTGATTTTCTCTCCTTGTTTGACCAACAATCTCTAGCAAAGTGACCAAACTTCTTACAACAGTAACATTGGATCTTCTTCTTGTCATACTTCTCTTTTCCCTTCTGAGCATTCTTTTGCCTATCAGAGATTGAGCTTTCTGACTTCTGACCACCATCAGATCTTCTCTTGGCTTCTGACTGCTTCTGATACCTCCTATCAGAAGTTGCTTTCAGAGTCTGCTGCTCTACTTCCCTTTCAGAAGTTCTCTCAGTCAAACGCAACTCTTGCGCTTCTAAACTGCTCTGCAGCTCTTCAATTCTCATGGTACTCAGATCTTTGGAATGTTCTATTGCTACCACAATGTAATCAAATTGAGAGGTAAGGGATCTCAATACTTTCTCCATGATTGTTTCTTCTGAAAGAGTTTCTCCACACGCCTTCATCTCATTAGTGATCAGAATCACTCTGGAGATGTATTCAGAAACTTTCTCGTTATTCTTCATGTTGAGATTCTCATATTGCTTTCTCAAGGACTGAAGCTTCACCTTCTTCACTGATGCGTCACCACCATAACATCTAACCAGTGTGTCCCACGCAGTCTTTGCTGTCGTTGAATCTGCAATCTTCTCAAACACATTTACATCAACACATTGATGAATAAAGAATAATGCTTTCTGATCCTTCTTCCTTACTTCCTTCTGCGCGTTTTTCTGTTCATCCGTTGCATCTGCTGCTACCGAAACATAACCATCAGTGACAAGATCTAAAACATCTTGAGCACCAAACAGTACACGCATTTGGATCATCCAACGATTCCAATTTTTACCGTCAAATACTGGAAGCTTGGTGTTCATGTTGCCGTTTCCGTTCATCTTCACCTTGCACAATACACTCAGATTTCTCACACAGTGTTTCCCAACCCACAGAATAAAATTCTGATCAGATTTTGTTCAAGATTCAACACGAATCTAAGAATCAAAATCAAACACACAAGACCTCACGTTCACTCGTGTTTCCCGTGTTTCCCAATGAATCTGAACCGGAGCTCTAGATACCAATTGTTGGTGCAAAGGTGAATAAATGATGAACAAAGGAAATATTCTATTAAGAATGACCGCTACAAAACATGATAAAAGTTACAATGATTGTCACCCTATTTATAAGCTAAAACTAGGGTTACTAGAATAAGATAAAATACTAAAATACCCTCTAACAAACTTAGGGGCTAAGAAAATAGTACAACTAAATAAATATGAATTACTATTAATATTCTAATACATCCGACGCTAATAGTTATTTTTCTAGCAATAAAGATTAAATTTTCAGAACATTGAAAGTATACAAAATATGTTTGTACTTCAGTTTGCTGTAAATTATTCATCAAGTGTGTGGTAACATTTTTTGTAAATAAACTTGTGTACTTTTTACAAGTGTTTGAAACTAGGAAGTGGTGTTCTTTCTATTTGTTGTAAAAAGATCCTTCGAATCGGGGAGACTCAAAGTTTCTCATAGGTTTGGTGTGTTATGTTAAAAGATTGTAGGATAGTCTTGGTGTGAGGCTGGACAAAGATCTAACAGAATGAAATCCTTCACGGGGTGTGAAAGGACTAGATATACCCCTGATTGATAAGAGGAACTAGTATAACTCTTGTGTCTCATTTATTCTTTCTACATTTTTTTCACTATTATTCATAAATTCGTCATTTTTTTTTCCAAAAAATAAAAGAAACAAAATCTTGGCAAATTAACTAAATTTTTTTTTTAAAGTTAATTCAATTGATATAAGAGCAGGTTAAGATAACGTGCTCCTAAGATTTCAGAATCACAGTTTTCACTAAACTTGTTTTTGTTGACGGTGGCAACTCAAATAAACCACCATATTTTGTCGGTGAACACTACGACTTTTGGAAAATTAGTATGAAAATGTACTTAGAATCATAAGGGGATGAAATTTGGAATGCTATCAAAGATAGGCCATTCATCCCTACAATAGTTATCAAATGTGTAAATCAACCAAAATTTGTGAGATTTTTTTCTGTTTCAACTATGATTACCCGTTTTTCCAGTCATTATCATTAAAATGTGAGAAGGATGATAAGATGCAGAGGCGCAACAATTTTGATTTGACAGGAACAAATGCGTGCCTTTTAAAATTATGAAGTTTTAAATTTAGAGTTTTGAGAATAAACATCTCACTTATAGGATTTGTTTTAACTAATTGATTTATGATAATCCTATTAATTGATCAAATATATCCTTAATGTTTAAAAAATGTTTCATCTGGTAGTAATAAAGTATAAAAACTGAATTATACATGTCTAAAGCATATGAAAAAGAGTCATTTTCTCACAAATACATTTACCTATAACACATACTAACGCATATCATGTAAGAATACTTTAAATATATATATATATATATATATATATATATATATATATATATATATATATATATATATATATATATATATATATATATATATATATATATATATATATATATATATATATATATATATATATATATATATATATATATATATATATATATATATATATATAATTTTATTTTAGTATATGATCTTATGATTTTTGTTGCAATCTTATATTTTACGATTTTGTGACCTCCTCTCAATCTTACAAAAATAATTAAGTAGAATCTTCCAATCTTAAGTACGCTTTTATATTTTACATCTTAATAATTTCTTCTGATCTTATGTAAAATCTCGATTTTATCATCCTTGATTATATCTAGTGCACTTACCTTTGACTATTCACAATTACCCTCCCATTGGTGCTTTTGTAATTTGTTTTCATTAGTGCACTTTCATCATCACGCCATGTTATCCCTTATACCTTGTGTCCATACTAATACACAAGTCCTCTAAATTATTAGTTATTTTAATATGTAATGAGTTTTAAAATGTGAAAAAAAGAAAATTGATATGAAATTTTGTGTGTGTAGAATAGTCTCTTGTAATGCTTTTACAAAGTGTATGAAATTCCTCAAGTAAAAACAGTGAATGAAAACTCATTGTAGAACTTTTGTAATGGATTTTGAATATCCTTATACTCACTTCAATAAACTTTGTTTATAAGAAATATAATCACATTTACAGAAGTGTGAAGTTGCCTATTGTGGGATAACATCTAAGTTCCCCATAGAATTGGAAGGATCTGTTGCTCTAAGTGCAACATTGAATCAAAGAAACTTGCCAAGATATTTTTCCATAAAATAATTTGATACTATCTGACTTGTTCTTTCTGAGGGGTGAAAAGCATCCCAAAATACATATTTATTTGCATCTGTGCATGTAAATGGACTTTTTGGATCACACATGAAACCCATCTCAAATCGACCTGTTCCGCAACATCCCACTTGTCCATTTTCAAAACCTGATCAAAACAAATCGTTCAAAAAATTTATCATTTTTAATTAATATCATAATGTTTACGGCACAAAATAGGCTATTTACATATCAATAGAATTAAATTATAATGTACTCACCTATTTTAAAAATCGATTTGTACGGTGAAAATTTTCAGACACTTATAAATATAAATGTAGATTTTTTAATGATTGTTAAAGACCTTAATTATTATTATTATTATTATTATCAATTTTTTTTATAAATAACAAAAGTGAGTTGAGTTCTATTTTTTTATCTAATGACTCACCTAAATAGATAAAAAAAATGTTAAAAATGAAATGAAGGGAATTACTAAGAAATAATGAGAATTTTGTTAGTTGTTGTGGGCTTTAAAAATGCTGGGGTCAGTTTTTTTATTTAATTGGAAGCTAATTTGATGTCACCGTCCCACTTTCTCTGACAAGCAGGTTGTATTGGACAGGTGGCTCAATGAATGTGGTGTGCTATTTATCACAATTTAATTTTGCTTTAAAAGTAATCTAGGTCCACATAAATTTAACCAGACCATATGAATTTAATTCTTTAGAAGAAACTGTGCAAGATGAAAAATGTAGCACTTTTAAGAAAAGTAGCAATATGAGACAAACTTTTAAGAAGCAATTAAATACTCATTATGTAGAATTATAACAATTTTAATACTTCAATATAGAAGTAAATAATATAAAAGCAGGAGGGTAAAAGAATTAGTCTCAATTATATATGAGTATACTTAGTTTTTTTATCAAATATTTAAGATGTCGCGGATTCGAATCTGCCTTATTGTATATTTGATTTAACATAACAAATATATCTGATTTTTATCGAAGAAAATAAAAAGCAATAATGTAAAATAGAAAAGTAAAAGTAAACTTACCAAATTGAGAAGGTTGACTAACAATTTGCATGATCAAATCATAAGCCTTTGTATGTACCAATTGAAATCCATTGAGCTCCTTGTTCAACTTTGCCACTAACCATTCCAATTTTGCATTAAATTCCAAAGCAACCTCATTGTATAAATCCTTACAACCATTATGGCCCAAAATATTTATGGCCCTCTCTAGTGGCAGACACCCCATTGGAATTAACCCTGTCATAGAAATTTTCCTTGCTCCAAGGTCATAAATTTCCCTAAAGAAATTTTCAGCAAGACCAATTAAAAAATCCTCATATTCTTGAACACTAAATTGCATCCTTCTTTCAAAACGTTGGTAATAATTCTCAAGAAAATCATTTGTTCCTATGCTAACCAAATACAGAGACTCGTTTATTATTTCATTAGCTTTCTTTTCACCAAATTTTGCCCTTAATTTGCTTTGGTACTCTTTGTAGTACTCAACTTCTTTCCATAAAGGTATCACATCCTGGAAAATATATCATAACAGTAACTTCAAAATGGATTATTTTGTACTGGAAAAAGGTTAAAAGCATCATGCATCAAAATTTTGAGAATTAGTTGAGGACTTACAGCAACACTTGCAGTAACATTATCGAATCCGGTACCGGCCGAAGCAAAACAAACACCGGTAGCAAAATCAGAAATATCGTAAGAAGGATCTAAATAAGCCGGAATAATCGGCTTAAGTCCAAAAGCCTGAGAGATAAAATCGGGTGCAATTCTTCCATTCGAAAATCTTCCAGTAGGATTTCCATTAGGAAAATCTCTACCATATGGTTGGAAATTGCTTCGGGCTATTGTTGGAATGAAATTGTTGTTACCAGAATCCACAGATGAATCTCCGAAAACTATAACCGCCGGAACTTTTCCACTGTTTGACGATGAAACATGCAATAAAATTTGAATGGAAAAGAACAATACGATGTGGATTTTCATCATTTTTCACCTGGACTCAACAAAATTGAGGTGTCTGTGATGCCAGGGAATGATAAAGAGGTTGTTTGTAAGAGAGTGAGGATAAGAGTCTATTTATGGGACTATTTAGTAACGGTTAGTGGTGTGTTGGGTCTACCAAATACTATTAAATTTTGGTAATATGATAAAAACTAAATTTCGAATTTCAATGTAAAGATATTGTTAAGAGTTTTACGTCGGACAATATATGACATAAACATGTGTATAGGTGGGATAATCTTCACCCTACTAGCCGGTTTTGTAAAGTTGAATTAGGCCGAACCACAATTTCTTGATGAAGAGAACCTTAAAAAAAAAATTGTGTTACTAAATTGTCTTAACAAATTAATTATCGAGAATTGTATTCAGCTCTCTTGGAACTGGAACCCTCTGTGCATGTAATTCAAGAGAGTTAATGATATTGTAAGAGGTTCAGAATTTGATACATAGCAACAAAAGAAAAGTTGTGTGCTTCATATAAGCATAAATTTCACTTAAACTAAAATATAAATAAAAAAATATTTAAGCTATTCTGTAAATTTTTTTTAGCAAAAATATGTAACGTTATAAAAAATATTTAAAAAAATCTAAAATAAAATTAGTTGATTAGAAATAAGATTATTCTTAAAAAAATTAGGATAACATAATAATATTTTATTTTGTAATAACAATTCGACGTCAATTAAAAAAAAACTGAAAACGTTAAATAATACCTGAAACTGCCTCCCCTTAAGAATTTAGTATGTATGTAAATTCTGGAGAGGATAACAGATTCCTCTCCATTGTGGAGAGATGAAAGAATGGAAACAGAAACTTTTTGAGAATTAACCAACTTGATTTTATTTTGGGGATTTATATGTTTGCTGTGTGCAAATTTTATTATATATTAGACCAAAAATAAAGTACTGAATGAAAGAATGAGCGTGCAATAATAATATCCTAAGAAAGTAGTGAACCTTATTCATTTAAAGGATTGTAAGTTTTTTTAATATCATTAATCTTACTTAATTGAGAGGTATTTAAAAATAACATTATTTAATAAAGAAATAATTTAATTAAATTTAAATATATTTGAACTATACTAATATAAAAGTTAAGTGTGCATGAAATCATAGAGAGAAGATATGATAAAGAATTTAATAATTATAGGATATAATAATTATAGAATAAAATTATTGAATTTCGTGTGTGTTGCTTATATATATATGTTGAATAGTTTTAATTTGGCCAAGTAAGATCGGGCTTTTATATTAAATATTTGGTTATGTCAAAATAGTTGTCCCCAAGGCTCGTAAGGCGTTTATTAGCCCGAAAAACTTTTGAAGTTGTGGTCAGCATCATCTGGTTATAGGGTCAAATCATAGTGAGAAGTAGGAAAGTCGTGGACTAGTTAAAAAGTATTGCGGAATAATTGCATCAAATGTCTTTCTCATCATTAAAATGTCTAGTTGGTTTTTCAGGTGCGTGATTTTAGGCTCGTAGGTTAAGGCGTGGTGTTTTTCCATAGGGAATTGGAGTGCACTTGAGTACGTTTGTTTTTCTAAGATAAAATATGGTCGTTAATTTGTAACCTTTTGTTTCCTATTGTTCTGGTATGTTGTTCTCTCTCCTCTATATAAAGGTCCCATGACTTTTAGGGGAACTTTCGCATTCCTGAAAGTCAGTTTTCATTTGCAAGAGAAATTTGCTATTTTCTCAAGAGCTTTTCTTTGAGCGTTTACCCCTTCCACATCAAAGCTTTCCATTCCACACTTAAACTCTATCTTCTTCGCTAAATTTTACTTTTTTCAAGTATCCTTCTAACCCTAAACTTGTTTAATAATTTCAAGTATTTACTTTACCTTGGCTAATATAAATTACCATCCCATAAGTTTTTCTAGCGATTCTGAGAGTAGTGATTCTTCTCTTTTAGCTAAAGTAGAAACGTCTTCTAGTTCAAAATCTCAATGTCCCGTTAACAATCATTATGTTCCAATAGTTATAATTATGTCTAACAAATCTTAGTCGAAAATGTGTTTTATTGGTTCTTTGGATAGAGAAACTTCTTCTAACGAGTCTTCCTTTAGCGCTATTCTTTTATACGAGCACGTGGGACATCATTGCACAGTCATTTATGCGCCAACGCCAACTATAGTTTGAGGAGATTTACCATCCTCTGCTTTTATTACCTTAGAGATAGAGATCGCCACTTTGAATAGGGAGGAAGCCTGGAATTTCATCAAGACTTACCATGCTATTTATAGTTAGGATCCTAATTATGTTGGGATCAAGGATCGTCTAACACGTGGAACTCAACCTGAGGGTGTTGATTACCTCAAGCCCTTTGAGATCTTTTGTGTTAATGAGATACCTCTAAAGGGTATTAAGCTAATGGAACCGGATGCAAGCAATTATAGTTGGGTGGACTCTGAGAAATTGGGAACCCATTATGCTTTGAGTGATCTCACAATTGTGACTGCATTAAACCTCGAAGTTGGTCGTCTTTCTGATTGGTCGGTCCATCCTATGGATTCAGGTTAAAAGATGTGTAGTAGCTTCGAGGAGTGCCTCATTCCTTTCTATGAATTTCTATTCACCCAAATAAATTTGTAGTTGCCTTTATCGGAGTTTGAAGTGGAGATGTTAGGTTTTTTAAAGGTTGTTCCCTCGTAGTTTCATTCCGGTGTTTGGGCTTATATAAGGGCATTTCAATTTTGGGCTAGGTATCTCTCATGGAAACCCTTCTTCCGATTGTTCTTCCATTTTTTTCATGATACACTCATATATTGGATAATGTCTGGGATCAAGGACTCATTGTGCTACATCAAAAATTTCCCCAGTTCAACCTTTTTTTAAAGATGAGATGATTTCCATTCTTTGTTTTGTTACGTTTCTTTTGGGCTTTCTTACTCGTGCACCGACAAGTTTCACAAATATTAGACTTGGGTCTATGTTAAACATGAACCTCATATGTATGTCGTTCATTTGGACTCTTTCACTCCTGACAAAGTTATGATGAAGAAAGATTTAGATACCTTTTACTAGAACCTAGGCTATGAGAAGGGGTGTGGCCTTACTAAGATGAAGCCTTATCTGCAAAGGAAGTCGTGGGCACACCCAATAGTCTTGAAAGGAAAGCAACTTTTGGTGAGGATAGAGTCATCCCTTCATAGTTTTTTTTAAAAATGTATGTTTATTATTGTTAGAAGATGGCATTAACCTAGAAGGGGGTTGAATAGATCACTAATTTTTAATAAAATTGGCGCTTAAAAAATTGTTTCAAAAATGTACGAAAGTGGCCTTGGATTTAAAATCGTCTAAACGAACCGTTATTGGTAAGATTGAATATGCGAAGCCTAATGGAATAAACTTGATGAGATAAACGAATCAATAATTTTCACAATCAATTATTCAAATGAAGACCACTTTGAATTATCCGGTTTCCAATGACATATAAATGGTAAATTTAAATTGAAAATTTTATGAACAGTTTGTGTGCGATCAATATGTCGAACACTTGGTGTGCACAACACCCCAAGTTCAATTTCCTATGAAATGATAGTGCAGAATTTTTCACAATTGCAATCAAAGTGATTGCAATGAATTTCCAAAGCAGTTTTTCAGCACTACAAATCAATAAAAATGTATCTAACTATTGATTTCACACAAATGTTAACAACACAAAGTAGAGAGAGAGAGAGGGAGATATATATATATATATATATATATATATATATATATATATATATATATATATATATATATATATATATATATATATATATATATATATATATATATATATATATATATATATATATATATATATATATATATATATATATATATATATATAGAGAGAGAGAGAGAGAGAGAGAGAGAGAGAGAGAGAGAGAGAGAGCGACACTCGATTTGTTTAGGCAGTTCCCCTTTAGTCCTCGCTTCGGGTACGACTGCCCCCAATTCTAAAACTAGAATTGAGATATGTATAATATCTAGTTGCAAAGTTTTGTACAAGAGAAGTTATAGCTACCACACACTCAAACCTAATAGTTGATGTTGATTCTATCCACTTCTCTTCCCTTGATTCCATCCGAATTAAGAGCATCAAACTCTTCGATCAAACCTCTAGTTACCGCTACTCACTTGATTCTTCAAGTGTTTCACTCGGCTAATATCGATCGCAAGACGTTCGACCCTAAATCTTTCAACACAATCCTCTGGTTACCGCTACTTGCTTGACCGAATCCATCGTTCTTCAAGCTTTTCACTCGGTTGAATCTGTGATGCAAAGATTTGTGCAAAATCCCCCAAATCACGAAGATCTTAGAGGAAAAAACCCCAATGGTTTTATTCAATAAAAACCCAATGAAATCTCAACCCAAACTATATTTACAATTCCTAAGTTTGAACGTTATCACCTCGACAAAGCAAAGATCAACAAAGATGATTATGTGTGATTATTGAAGAATGCAAATGTGAGAATCAAGATGAAGAGCAATTCAATGTATATTTTCAATGTTATTGTTGGTTCTGTAAGAAAATGACGCATATAAATATAAATATATATATATATATATATATATATATATATATATATATATATATATATATATATATATATATATATATATATATATATATATATATATATATATATATATATATATATATATATATATATATATATATATAAAACTATTAAAACATAACAGAAAATAACAGAATTTTGAAACACAAAGATGCATAAAAATAAGCTCAAATATGCGAGAGGTCGACCTCCACAAACTGTGAGTCGACATAAACATGCCAGAAAGCAAACCTGCGCACAAAATGAAATTCTGTGTTGACCTGAACTCTGACTATGCGTTGATGCATGAGCACCCGAGAGCTCCAAGATGATATCAATCAGTATGCGTCGACCTACACAGTATATGTGAGTCGACGCAAGGATGCCAAAATGTTACAAACACCATTTTATACATTTTACGTCGACCTACACAATG